AGGTCATTCTCTTGTTTGTTCTGCTCAAAGGGGATACAATGTAAGATCTGATTGAAAGGCCTACAAAAATATCTCCAGGGAGACAGAGGCGGTTCCTAATAAGGATTATCTAGCTCCTTCTACTCTGGAAGGATTACAGATGTAAATACTGTACTTGACACAAGCTAGAGTCATCAGAGAGAAGGAAGCCTCAATTCAGAAAATGCTATAAGATCCAGCTGTAGGACACTTTCCTTTCTCTCTTTTTTTCCCTTTGGTTTTTTTTTTTTTTTTTCGAGACAGGGTTTCTATGTGCAACAGTTCTGGCTGTCCTGGAACTCACTTTGTAGACCAGGCTAGCCTCAAACTTAGGAATCCACCTGCCTCTGCCCCCCAAGTGCTAGCATTAAAGCCGTGCACTACCACCACCCAGCTGTAGGACATTTTCTTAATTGATGACGAGGAGGACCCAGCCCATTGTGGGTGGTGTCACCCTGGCTTGGTGGTCCTAGATTCTGTAAGAAAGCAGGCTGAGCAAGCCATGCATGATGAGCAAGTCAGTAAGCAGCACTCCTCCATGGCCTCTGCTTCAGCTCCTGCCTCCAGGTTTCTGCCCTGTTTGATCTCTTGTTCTGACTTCCTTCAACAATAGACAGGATGTGGAAGTACTGGCCAAAAGAACCCTTTCCTCCTCAACTTGCTTTTGGTCACATAGTGTTTCATCACAGCAATAGAAACCCTAACTCAGACACTTCGCTCGTCTTCAGCTGAGGTAAATCAGACAAACTCCAAACAGAAGCATCTAGGCTCTGAGCCCTGAATCAGAGGATGGGATGGGAGCCGCCTTCTTACATCACAAGGAAACCGATGCTGTATCTAATTTCATTCATTTGGGGCTAAACTCCCTGTCTGAACTCAAGGTAATCAATTCACTGTACAAATCTGCCTGCCCCTCAGGGGTTTCCTGGGATGTGTGACTTTCAGTATTAAACCAGGAGAATCCCAGGCAATAATTTAGACTCACAAGAGTTCTGGGTTGGACCTTGTCCCAATGTAAAGAATTTTCCCCAAGTATATAATGAAAGGTTGAGGTGTGACATAGGTGGGCTATGTAGGTCTTTCTTTTTTTTCTTTTACGGCCAAGCTTCTCCAAGGTGATCTTTGCTCAACACTAGTTTTATCTCAAGGTCACTCAGCTGGTGACATTAAGGGTTTGGAATGAGGTCTTTAAATAGTGGCATTTAAAAAGGAAGGGGGAGCATCTTTGTTGGCAGGTGTGCTGTTTTCTCTTAGAGATATTTTCAAAGAACTTCACAGGACTAGAGAAAGACAAAGTATATTCCCACCTTCGCTGATGGCTCCTCAGAACTCTAAAACACTCAAGGGGAAGGGTTGGGCTTAGAGCCTATCACAATGGTGGAGGGCATCCTTGCTGGGGAGCAGATTTCTTATGCTGGGCTCCAGTAAACTAGCCAAACTCTTTACTTCTCTTCCCAGAATTCGAGCTCGGCATTGTGACTAACGACATTGTCAACAAGTACTAAGTATTCCTGGTGTTAGTAGTTTTATTCACCTGCCCTCCCACCCTTTGTGATCGACATTTTTTTCTACCTAAAAGCTGGAAGGGATGCAGGATATTCCACACACCATCCCTATTGACCAGCTGCTATTCGGAACAGGAAAGAGATGGTACCATTCCTCCTGAGAGACCACAGTCCTGTCACCATCGAAGTATGTGCTGCTCCCCCTCATCAAATGCCATGAGAACTGTTTGGGAATTCCTCAGAAGCACATGTAGTCATGGCTTTCATCATTTTTTTCTTTCATTGTTTGTTTTGTTCTTTTTTTTTTTTTTTGCAGAGGTATAGGTGGCATTACTACATTTCCTTTATATCTGGGACAACATCGCCCTGATTTGCTGAACATTTGGTCTGTCCTCTAGCTGCCCTTCTTCCTAATGTCCCCAAAGTGGTCACATGTGGCTGGTATTAATACTTGATGTCTCATATTTATTCGATGTTCTCATTTCCCACTTAGAGCTTTCTCTCTCACTTGGGAACTCCCAACATCTTCATCTTTGCCTCCAAGTTCCTCTTCTCGCTGCAAGATTGCCATCACCTTGAACAACTTACATCAAACTTGTTGGACTCATCTTGCCTCCTCAAGTAGTTTCTTTCTAGACTTATATTTTTCTCACAACATGTGGCCAATATCCCTTTCTCTTGGATTAAAATCTTGACATCAACTTTAACTCATTTCCACATCTCCAGTCAGAAATAAACCAGAGTCTCTTTTGCAATGCCTTTCATCTGATTCATCTTCCTGTTTCCATGGTCTTCAGCCTCACTGTGCAACTACGGCACATTCTCTACAATAGTTTCTAAGTCTAGATCCTCTTACTCCATCCCACTTAGCTCCCAAACCACAAATAAAATGCTGCTTTATTGTGTACCAACTAGTTTGATTCCTTAGTCTAATATCTAAGAATTTCCACATGAAGTCTGCCATCGACTTTTCCCTCTAGAAATGATCCCAAATATGGCAGGAATCAATGACCAGTTAGGTAGACAATTGCATACAAAAGGTGTGCTCTTTGCACAGTCTTTCTTCTAGCTCAGTCTATCATAGTTCATTTTGGTTACTATGACAAAACACCAGGGACAAAACACCAGGGGCTAGGTAACTTATAAAACAACAGCAATTTATTTCTCACTAGGAAGTCCGAGATCAAGATTATGGCAGATTTGCTGTATTTTGAAGGCCTGCATGCTGGTTCACAGCTATCTTGTTTTCCTGTGCTGATAGAACAGAAGTCTTGAGGTCCTTTCTCTCAGGCCTCTTTTACGTGGGCACTGATTTCATTTATGAAGTCCCAATCACTCTCTCAAGACTCAATCACTTCCCAAACGACTCCACCTCCAGATGTGATCACAATGGTGATTAGATCACAACAGTAAAAGCTTTGGTGGATGTAACATTCAGGCCATAATGCAGTCCAACCCTCTCAGCCCTCTGACCCCGCCCGGCTTCTCTCTGGCTCTCAAACCTTTGGTTTCCTACTACTGGGTCCTGAACCCATTTGATGTTCTGAGCCATAGCTTCTTACCTGTCCCCTGGCTCTGGGTGACAGGAGAATAGAGCACTCTGGGATGATCCCCCTTCTGGATTACCAGTGTGCCTGGTAGAGTCTCGAACAAAGGTGCAGGGATAATCAGATGGAAGGATGTCGTCTTAGTTTGGTTTCTACTGTTGTGATTACCAGCAGGGCAAAAAACAGCTTATGCAGGAAAGTGTTCATTTAAATTTGCAGTTGATAGCCTATCATAAGGAGAAATCAGGGCAGCAACTCAAGACAGGAAACTGGAGGCAGGAACGGAAGCAGAGACTATGGAGAAATGTTGCTTACTAGTTTGCTCCTCATGGCTTGTTCAGCCTTCTTTTTTACGGAACCCAGGACCATCTATCCAGGGGTGGTCCTACCCATGGTGAGCTGCCCCCCCCACATCAATCATCAATCAAGAAGATGCCCTATAGAATTCCTATAGGCAGTCTATAGAGGCATTTTCTCAGTTGAGGATCCTCTTTCCAGACAACTCTAGGTTGTATCAAATTGACAAAACAAAACAAAATAAAATTTCCTCAAAGAACACCAGGACATGTACTGAGGGTATAATTCCAGTACTGATCCCACACACAGCCACAGGGGCAGTCAGATTCTACAGTAGCACAGCATAACTCTCTGTGAACATGGAAACGTCCTATTCTGTGTCATTCAACAGAGTAGCTACTTGCAGATGTGGCTACTGAACACTAAACACAGTCAGCACGAAGGGGGAACTAGTCCATTTTATTTCCTCTTGATCAAATTGAAACAGTCACATGTGGCCGACTACCAGATAGAACAATGCAGGTTTACAGGTCCACGAGGGTCACAGCTGATCCTTATTAAAGTGTCTGAGACTCTGTTTGAAATCAGTTTGTGTGACTCATGGGCATTACTGACTTATAAGGTACAATCAACAAATATTTATTGGATGGGTAGACAGATAAACAAAAGCATAAAGGAAAGTCAGAGTAAAAATTCCTTGAAGATGTGGGGGATTATTGAAGACTAAAGATAAAAAAGACTTCCCCAAGTTCAATACATTGGTACTGAAAGGAATTCTGTTTCAAGTCAGGCACAGTGGTGCATACTTTAATCCTGGCACTGGAGAGGTAAAGACTTTTGATCTCTGTGAGTTGAGAGTCAGCCTGATCTACATAGATAGTTCTAGGACAGCCAGGGCTACATAGATAGTTCCAGGACAGCCAGGGCTACATAGACAGTTCCTGAACAGCCTGATTTACATAGACAGTTCCAGGACAGCCAGGGCTACATAGGGAGATCCTGAAACCCTGTCTTCTGTGTGTGTGTGTCTATGATGTAAGATGGTTGTTTTTAGATTTTTTTTTTTGGATGAGATAATGGTACCATAAATTCCAGAGGCAAAGGTCCATGCTGAAGAGCTTAGGGATGAAGCATCATTAGCATCTCATTATCATGTGGGGTGACTCTAGCCATTCAAGGAGGAGGCACAAAAATGGCAAGATTCTAGCAACTGTTATAGTGGCGTGGGATTGCACAGGACAGAAACTTCCGTCTACACCCTCCATAGACAGGTGGGGCAGCCGAGGAGATTGGGGCTGGATGGACAATTGAAGGTAGACAGTAAAGAAGGGTTTCAAGAAAGAGAAGTCACAGGTTCCATGGTTGGAACCCCTCAAAGGACGTGTGGGTCAGTGCAGAGAGCCTGGGCTAGCATGGCCTGACGTGTAAACCTGACTCCATACTTAGCAGATGAGTGACCTTGGGTAAGTTAGCTTCTAAGTCTCCATTTTCTTAACTGTAAAATTGGACAGCTCCTCCAAGGCGGTGAGCAGAATTTAATGAAGACCATGTGAAGTCTCTTTGACCCTAGATCATATAAATAATTACAACACATTTCTTACTAATCATTCATATTTTCATATTTTTTCTACAGTTAAGAAGCCAGACGTTGGGAAGCCATGGTAAGTATCAGGATCTTGTTGGAGCTTCACTGTAGACAGGTCCAGGTCCAACTCTATTTATCCTGGAGCCCTAGTCAATGGTTAGAGATATATATGGCTGTGTGAGTTAATGATATTTGTTATTGAAAAGTGGACACTGATTAAGGGGAAAGATGAGAAAGATTTGTGAGCAAAGATTTGGTTAAAAAATGATAACGAATTGCTCAACACATAGAAATAATGAACAATGAGATAGGAATATTAGTTACTCTGATGTGGTCATTAGCCATTGTAATATATATACATAGACTGAATTATTATGCAATGTCAATGAAATTTTTAAAAAATAAAATATAAAAAAGCCAACAAGAAACTAATTGGCTAACAGTTACTTCATTCAGGAAGTATTACAGAATACCTAAAGTAGCTTATGTCAAGTGTAGATGCCAGAGAGGAAAATGTGAGCAAAACCAGACTTGGTCTTGGCCTCTGGAATCGTTGGCTGAATGAGTAACCTCATATTCAGGAGTGTTACATGCACCACGGTTATGAAGAAAGCTCACAAAGAATAAATATTATTTTGGTGTTGAATTAAGTTATATGCAAAATATAATCTCAATATATTGTAGATCAAAATGGAAAATAAAAATAAAATAATAATGACTCTCAAAGCTACATAAATCTATATCTCCATGACCCTTAGGTAGAAATTTTTAAATAATACCTTTATTAATTCTTAAAGCATTTCATACAACATATCTTCATCATGTTTAGTGTTCCCCATCTCTTCCTACATTTACTCTCTCCCCTTTTCATATCGTCTTTTCTTTGTCTTTAAAAAGGGTTATCACACAAAAAAGAAATAAGTATAATGAGAAATATAGGTAAATTGGAATCCAGCCTTGTGTCTAAAAAGCAGTGTTCGAAATCATATTGACAATTGTGCTGGCTAAGACTCTCAACTTGACACAAGCTAGAGCTATCTAAAAAGAGGGAACTTCAATTGAGAAAATGCCCTCATAAGATCCAGCTGTCGGGCATCTTTTAACTAGTGATTGATATGGGAGAGCCCAGCGCATTGTGGGTGAGACCACCCCTGCTCTGGTCTGGTGATGCTGGATTCTATGAGACCGAGCAATCACTCTTTCATGACCCCTGCATCAGCTCTTGCCTCCAGGTTCCAGCCCTGCTTGAGTTCGTGTCCTGACTTCCCTCAGTGATGAACTACAATGTAGACGTGTAAGCCAAATAAACCCTTTCCTCCCCAACTTGCTTTTAGTCATGTTGCATTGCACAATAGTAACCCTAAGACAATAATATTATGAATGTGTTACAAATCACCCGTAATACATGGTTTGAAAATAACAGTTGTCAAATGTAGTCTGTCACGGCCCCATCTTTGGGATCTGTTTTGAACATACTTACCACTTACACAGCATAAACTACTGCAAAGACTGTTCTGGACTGCTGTGTTTCTGATTGTCTCTGCATTAAGAGGTTGCCACAGAAGTCTTAAAGAGACACGAGATAAGTGCGTCAAAAGCCACTGCAGGGGTGTATTCTGTTCCCCCTTCCTGCAGTCACCTGTCTCCTCTGCCTTTGTCCCCACTGTGTCCAGGGCTGGGCGCGTAGGCCTCCGCCTGAGCAGCACAGACATTGTGAAGGATGCATCAACCGCCACTGCCATGTTCCGGTGGAACCCAGCGTCTCCTGCCCGGTGACAAGCTGCCACCTGCTCTGTGGTGCTACCTTCCACATGTGCAAAGAGGCAGAGCACGCACTCCTCTGCCCTCTAGAGCAGGTTCCGTGCCTCAACTCAGAGTATGGCTGCCCGCTCTCCATGGCGCGCCACAAGCTGGCGAAGCACCTGCAAGTGTGCCCAGCCAGCGTGGTCTGCTGTTCCATGGAATGGAACCGCTGGCCCAATGTGGACTCAGAAACCGTCCTTCATGAGAACATCATGAAGGAGATCCCCAGCGAGGAATGTTTGGACACTGCCCTGGCCCTCCAGGACCAGAACGTTCTCTTCAGGTCCTTGAAAATGGTAGAGCTTTTCCCAGAAACCAGAGATGCCACCGAGGAGGAGCCAGCCACAAATGGTGACACCAGTTGGGAGGAGACCGGAGGTGCGGTGGGGGGCGTGGATGCCAGGCCAGTACCACACTGTTGTCTGCCAGCAACCAACGGGCAAATGATGGAACTCAGTCAGGAGGAACGAGATGCACTGGCGAAAACCAAGGAAGGGATGGACCTGGCCAAGTTTGGCAAATGGGAAAGTTTGTTCAGCAAGGAGCATGCGGCCTCGGTTTTAACGGGTTCCTCGGGGAAGAGCGCAGATGAGGGTGGGAACGTGACTGGGAGAGAGCAGTGTTCCCCTGATGGTAGCATGGGTGATGCAGAGGCATCTCCAGGAGGAAGAGAACCACAGGAAAGCCCGCAGCCCCAGGATCTTCCCGCTGCCTTGGAGATGACAGGGCTTGCCCCCTGGCAGGATGGTGTTCTGGAAAGACTAAAAACGGCCGTAGATGCCAAAGACTATAACATGTATCTGGTGCACAATGGGCGGATGCTCATCCACTTCGGGCAGATGCCAGCTTGTACGCCCAAGGAGAGAGACTTTGTTTACGGCAACCTCGAGGCTCAAGAGGTGAAAACGGTTTACACCTTCAAAATCCCTGTGAGCTACTGTGGGAAGCGAGCTCGCCTGGGAGATGCCATGTTGAGGTGCAGACCAAGTGAACACAAAGCCGTGGACACTTCCGATTTGGGCGTCTGTGTGGGAGACCTGCCCAAATCCGATCTCATCAAGACCACCCTCCAGTGTGCTTTGGAAAGAGAACTCAAAGGCCATGTCATCTCGGAATCCAGGAGCATCGATGGGCTCTTTATGGACCTCGCCACCCAAACATACAACTTTGAGCCAGAGCAGTTTTCCTCAGAGACAGTGTTGGCTGATGTCCTGAGCACTGCCCAAGCCACAGGCCTGCACGTGGAGCTCCACAGTGAATGTGTGACCCGGAGACACAATAAAAGCAGCTCGGCCTTCACGTTCACCTGCAACAAATTCTTCCGGAGGGATGAATTTCCCCTGCACTTCAAGAACGTCCACACAGACATTCAGTCGTGTCTCAACGGCTGGTTCCAGCATCGATGCCCTCTCGCCTACTTAGGATGTACCTTTGTCCAAAATCACTTCCGCCCCCCTGGACAAAAAGCCAAAGTGATCTATAGCCAGGAACTGAAGACTTTTGCCATCAAGCCAGAGGTTGCTCCGGAGCTGAGTGAGGGATGGAAGAGCGACCAGCTCTTGGGCCATGGTAGGAAAAGCCGTAATTCTCTAACCAGTCTGCCCCTGGAAGTTTTGCAATACATTGCTGGGTTTCTGGACAGCGTCAGCCTGGCCCAGCTCTCCCAGGTGTCGGTGCTGATGAGGAACATCTGTGCCACTTTGTTGCAAGAGAGAGGGATGGTGCTCTTGCAATGGAAGAAGAGGTATTCTCATGGAGGCTCCTCCTGGAAAGTCCACAGTCAGGCAAGTAAACATCTGTTTTTCTTTTTCATTCATTCATTCACCCAATAAATATTTATTAAGAGCTCTCTTGGGGACAAGCACTATACCAGGCACTGGGACAGCTATGAACATAAGAATCACCCAAAGAGTTCAGCCCAGCAGGAAAGCGGACATAAACATGTGTTCTGCAGTGTAGTGCCAATGCCACGTCTGCTTATAGACAGGCAATGTCTTTCATTGGCTCGCCCATTCTATACTGGTTCTCTCCAGTCTCCATCCGGCTCCAGCCAGGTCTATTCCAGAGACTTATCTCTGCAGCTTGCCTCTGCTGCCTCCCCGGCCCTCCTGCTTCTAGTTAGGCTGGACCAGTGTGAATATTTCAGGAGAAGGGAAGAGGAGGAGGAAGTGCTGACCGGATCACTCTCTTTAGCATGCCCTCCCCCTCCCCTTCAAGACACCAGGAAATGGCTGTGTCCCTCCTCTGAAGGCGGCTACACCAGGTGACTTGATCCACACAGCTGTTTGTTCTGAGTGTAGTGACCAGTTTCCCTCTTTCCATGAAACTTTAGGCTACTAGCTCTGGATATTGCCCCCAGATTTGCAAACCATGCCTCCCCAACCCACCCAATTCGAGTGTACCACTTGCTCCCAGCTTGGACTCTGATTGGTGGAGTAGACAAATTCCCCTCAGTCTCATGCCAACTGACTTTTAAAAATGAATTTTATTTTGAAGTTGTACGTGAGTGTAGTCCACCCACTTCCCATGGTCGAATTGCTTATTTAATATAAAACACCGCAGTCTATGAATCAAAGACTCTTTTCCTTCTGAAAAGCTATGTTCCTTTTCTCAGTTGAGTCATCTTCGCTGACTTACAACTTCGCCAGAAGTTAGACTCCTAATTCATCATATTCAAGGTGTCTGTGATATCTTTTATTATGACAAACGTGTTGATAATATGAACCCTGACTATATGATATCTATTGAGTTCACTAACACCACTGCTGTGTTTGTCCCTAATACATGGATGTTCTCCAGTGTATGGAGGAATTAGAGTTGTTTGCATCTATTTTTATTGATTATGTCCAAAGTATTCTGTATCTATTCCCTTAATTTTTCCTTAAACAGTCAATACCCCTTTGTGTATCTGTGCCCACATCCATGAAACCACGTTGGTGACAAACATTCATGAGAACAATACACTCCTCTAGGAGTGCATCTGAGACCAGTAAACACATCTTTCTCTGTAAAATCAGATGTCAATTGTAGCATGACTAATAAAAACCCAGAGACAGGCACTGGGGTTCAACCTGAAGGTCAGAAAAGCAAAATAGCTAGCCACTGGCTCTTACCTCTACCTCAGTCCGAAATGGCGATCCTGCCTCCAGGAATCCTCAGAATGAGACAGAGCTGTTGCCTTCCGTTTCTATTCCTCTCTAGTACTGGGATTAAAGGCATGCACCACTGCCACTCAGTTTCTATGGCAAACTAATGTGGCTACTGGGATTAAATATGTGTGTCACCATTGCCTGGTCTATAGTGCTGACCAGGGTGACTGTTTTACTCTCTGATCTTTAGGCAAGCTTTGTTTATTAAAATACCAATGAAATATCACTACAGTCAATAATTTAATTTATATACTAAAAGAAAATCTCATTTTGGGGGGCTTAATTTTGCCCCAAATTCAAATATGTCTGGTCACTTTTTTTTTAAAGATTTATTTATTTATTAAGTATACAACATTCTCCCTCCATGTATGCCCACACATCAAAGGAGGGCGCCAGATCTCAGTACAGTTGGTTGTGAGCCACCATGTGGTTGCTGGGAATTGAACTCAGGACCTCTGGAAGAGCAGCCAGTGCTCTTAACCTCTGAGCCACCGCTCCAGCCCCCTGTCTGGTCACTTTTTTAAAAAATCAAAAGGCTTCAGGTAAGACTTACCCTGGCAGCTCAAAATGATCTTTTTTCTTAACCCCTCTTCTGGAATATTGGCTATATTCTTAGGCAGTTCTTCCTCAGTGTTCCTGGTAACTGCTGGGGTCTCCTGGGACCCCAGCTTCCTCTTAGTCCAAGTACAGATGGAAGGGAGAATCTGCTCTTGGTACCTCACTCAAAAGTCCCAGAGCGGAGCCTGTTGAGTGCTAAGTATCACCATATGTGTGCAGACCCGCTTTTTATTGCTCAGAGGGGTGCTGGGGAAGGTGCGTATCAATGTAGGTTGGCATCAGGCATCATGATCAACTGAAAGGCTGGCTGGGAAGATAATTAATTAGCAAGACATTGGGCATTAGATGCAGGAACAGGAAATAGCGAATGTCCAGGCAGACACTGAGCACCGTGGAACCTGGACACAGAACATGGCCAGCTACCCCGTACACTGCGCAGAACCACTCAGCCCCGAAGCACTCAGTGCTCATTGCGCATGTTCACCTTTGAGCTTTCTCTTTCCCGGCAGACCTGGCAGTTCAGCAGCCTCTTCTCCAAAATCAAGAGCTGGGAGTTTAACGAAGTCACCTCCATGTCTGAACACCTGAAAACCTGTCCTTTCAATGTCGTGGAGCACAGGACTGACCCGATCCGTTTGACCAGCATGTGTCAGTCCCAAGAGCAGACCCGGGAGAGCTTGGTGTCCATGTTTAGGGCCCGACCACGGGGTAGACGCACCTAAAGGTTTGCATGCCACTGTTCCTGGCTTCTCAGGGTAACAGAAAGTGGGACACTACGGTGTGAGGACATCCCTCTGAGGCCCATGTATCTGCTTCACTGGGTCGTGAGAATGTGTGAGATCCTTCAGGCCTTAGCGACTGCACTAGGACACTAGCTTTCTGAGCTATGGCTTGTATGATGGTGCCTTATCTTAGCTCTTTCCTCTTTTCATTTCCTAAAATAGGTCAGTCTGAGAGAAAATAAATAACTTAAGGCCATCTGAAAATTGAACCCATCCTTGGTTGACTAGAGAGTCAGGATATTCTTCAACCATCATAGACTAGTGATTCTACATTGTGCTATCTAGTTTACAAACCACCTTCAAGTTCTTGGAGCAGGCAATATGGCAACAGGGTCTGAGGTACAGTGGCCTCTCAGGGTATCTCAGGTGGTGGGAACCCAACTGGAAGGTTCTAGAGCATGGTCTTTCTTGAGAGTTAGGGGCCATTTAGTAACTCTTCTGCATCAAAGCCCAAATGGTTCCAACACAACCCAACAGGATGGACCCTGGGTGAGCACAGATGATGGTTCCAACACAACCCATCAGAATGGACCACACTGGGTGAGCACAGCTGTTTCATGGACACCACAGGCCAAAGCAAAACAGTCAGTTGTGTAGTGTCTTGTGTAAGAAAGAAAGTCCTTAAAATGAAGGAAAGGCCACAGGTCTCCAAGAACAAAGTCGTTTCTGGTTGACAGCCACTGTCCTAAAGGATGCTACACCAACAATGCTATGTTAGGACATGCTCCCCTTTTAGTGGGACAAATCAGATCATAATTTGTCTGCGACATAATTCAATGCGACTCTTACTTGTTTACAAAATAAGTTTTAAAGATGTGGTGATGCTAAATTGAGAACCACATGGGGCTGATCTACTCAATACGGCTTTGCATCCTCTGGCTGCAATGAAAGAATATATTCTCCCTCCCTGGCCTATTTAAGGAAACTGGAAACCTGGAACCAGAAAAGTAATTTATCTTAGGTTAAGTTCCTATTCCCTTAATAGGTGCCATTTTCCAACAATCCCAGGAGTTCTCAAGCTAATGGAAAACAAGGCAAAGGGAGGCCAGAAATCACAGGGAACCGGCCAGGCAGCACAGGGAACCACCAGCCAAGAATGCAAATAATGAAGGAGACTTGCCAACCTGTGAGCTTGTTGTCTGAGCATCTGTCTGTCTGACCATGGTTCGAATCAGTGCAGAGGAAGGAGCTGGTGCAGAGGAAGGAGCTGGTGCATAGGAAGAAGCTGGTGCAGAGGAAGAAGCTGGTGCAGATGAAGAAGCTGTGCAGATGAAGGAGCTGGTGCCTCTGCAAGGGGTCAGGCAGGCAGGAGCAGAGCAAGCCCAGACTGAAAGTGTGCTCACTGTTCACTATGTTCCTCTCATCCCATTGTTAGCACCATGCTAGGACTCCTAATCTTTATAGTTCGGTTCGGATTTCACCACTTTTTTGCAAGTCATCATTTTCTAAAACTGTATCTAGAGTGTTCTCTGATACTTTGTTCAATGAAGATGAGTAGCTGAAAACAGCTAAACAAAAAGTAGGCAAAAAGAAAGCAAGGTCTTCAGGCATCAGTTCTGGCTTCTTCCCATGCAGCGGAATGGAGTTCTCAGAGAAAGAGAACTCCAGAGCTTGGAAACAAACCCAGAACTCTAGCTCTATGAACTAGGAGCTGCAGAGAGACAGAGAGGCCACAGGATTGTGGCCGGATAACATGCACTGCTGGAGGCAACCTGGCCAAGGAGAGCAGTCAGGGCCCTTTCCCAGATTGGGGTGTGGATGGTTCAGCCTCACGTTCCCCCCACCAATTCCTGTCTCAGAGCAGTACAAAGATGACATCATCAAACCTTTTATAAGGGAATTCATTGTTTATGTTAAAGGAAACCAAGATACCCCAGGCATTCCGTGATCCCTAGAGATACGCTCACTTGGTAAGAAGAGGGAAGACATAGCAAAAAGGACCTTCTCAGAGGCACCGGGCTTGATGAATGGACATGAGTGGTGGGTTCCCTGTGGTGGAAGCAAGGCAGCTCCATGTGGCTTTAGTTTAAGCAGCAGTTGAGGATGGTGAAGAGGGATGTATCGCAAGCATAGAGCCTAGGCAGGAAGACATCCCTGAGCAGAGTCCTTGATGAACATCACCCTCGGGAAAGACAACTGAGAGGTGGAAAGTAGCAGAATGTGGGGGAGGGGGCAGAACAGAGCCACAAATGACTTGTTCCCTGAGCAGCATAGGGACTTGAGAAGGAAACTTGTCTAACAAGAGAAGGTCAAATGGGAAGCAAGGTGAGAATTAGAGGGAGATTTACAGCAACAGCAACAACACTGCACCGTCTAATGTATGTGCAATGCCAAATCAAATTGAAATGGAGAACAGAGTTTTATGTATCTATGGTCACTTACTTTTATACACCAGCAACCCCAGGGTCTCTCTATTGGGAAATAAACGCTGCTTTGTACTCTGAAAGGGGTTGTGGGAATTTAACTGTATGAAGATGAGTTACGCTTGTTTATACTGTCAAATATTACTTTAACTGTGTAAAGATGTGTTCCATTTGTTTATGCTGCATTTGTTTAATTATGTAAAGATGAGTTGCTGTTTCACCTTGCCTGCCTAAGGCATCTGACTGGTCTAATAAAAAGCTGAATGGCCAATAGCTAGGCAGAGAAAGGATAGGTGGGGTGGCAGGCGGAATAAACAGGAGGAGAAATCTAGGCTTGAGGGAAGAGAAGAGAAAAAAAGAAGAGAATAAAGATAAAGAAAGGGACACCCCCAGGGCAAGAAGGCAGGCAGTCACTAGCCAGACACAGAGATGGCAGGATGCTCAGGGAGTCACTTTTTGATGATTGTGGCTGCCTGGGTGTCCTCATCTCTTTTCCTATCCATTCTAACTCTGGACCGCACAGAGGTTTCATGAACAGTCTCTATCTACCCTTTCCTGGACATGGGCTCCAATGGTCCTGGTATCAGGGAGTCTGGACCTTCCCCCAGTCACTCTTCAGCTCACTTGAATTTGTTCTCCTCTGGTGGTTAGTCTTTTCTTTCTTTCCTATTTTCAACCCTCTAATCTGAATCTGTGCTTTTGCCTCAAGAACTTACCATGTTCCAGGGGGTGGGGAAGATGGCTCAGCTAGTGAAGTGCTTGCCTACCAAGCATGAGGACCTGAGTTTAATCTCCAGAACCCGTGTAAAATGACACATGGTGGTGGCATTTGCTGATAATCTTAGAGCTAAGGAGGCAGAGACAAGAGGATCCCTGGGGCTCCCTGGCCAGCAGAATCTAGCCTAATTGGTGAGCCCCAAATCAAAGAGAAATTCTTCTTTAAAAGAAGTGGGTTATATTCCTGAGGACTAACAGCCAATGTTGCCCGCTAGCCAACACACACCTGTATACGCTCGAACCCACAAGTGCACCTGCACATATTTACACACTTACACACATGCACGCACGCATGCACGCACGCACACACTATCACCATGAGCTGGAAAAGCCTGGTTGTTTTCCCAGCTGGGAAGCTAACTTCATACAACTGCTAAAGCCTTAATCTGGATGTCCCCTGACCCTGCTACTCCACATTGCTGCCATTGGGTGTGCTGGTTCGTTTTTCTCAACTTGACAGACTTAGACATACCTGGGAAGTAATGCTAATTGAGAAAATGTCTCCATAGGATTCCTCCATAGGCAAGTCTGTAGGACTTATTTTCTTAGTGGTTGATGTGGGCAGTACCCCACCCACTGTGGGCGGTACCATTTCTGGGTGTGTAAGAAAGCAGGCTGGGCAAGCCATAGGGAGCAAGCTAGTAAGCAGCATTTCTCACTGGTTTTTCCTTCAGTTCTTACCACTAGGTTCTCGCTCTGAGGCTCTGTCCTGACTTCCCTCAGTGATGGAGTGTGATTTGAGAATTGTAGACTGAAATAAACCCTTTCCTTCCCAAGTTGCTTTTGGTCATGTATTTTTATCACAGCAGCAGAAACCTTCAGTAAGGCAGTAATAGGCTTGTCTGTTTTGGACAGACTAAGGTACAGCCACATAAACAGGCCTAACTCCTGACCCCTAAGGCACAGGATTTGGCACCATATCCTAAACACAAGACTAGAGGGAGTCTTCTGTGTTCATGTGGATGAGGGATGTAGAGTCAGGGCCAGAGAGGCCTCACTAAGAGCACCACTTACCCCAGTACAAAGTGTTCAAAGCCACAGTCTCGCTTTATTCTCAGTTTTATGTCTAAACAGAAAAGACAGTTCCAATTTCTATCTTATGGGAAGAAAAATGAGCAAAAAAGCACAACCAGGCAAAATCACGCTGCCTAGCAAGAGCTTCCCTGATGGCTAGCATACAGGGGAATGCCAGCACTCAAGAGGGAGGAGAGCAGAGGGGGGTGTTGGGAAGGAGGCAGGACCACAGATGATGCTATGAGTTATTCCAGGGAAGAGTGGATGCAGAGGGAAGGCCCCTGCCTTGTGCTGCCTCTACCTAAAGCTCTTAATAAAGCAGGAGAGGGAGGTCTGTCTGAACCCAGGTGCTCCATGGCATGCTATTAGGTCCTTTTCAGCAGTCCTGTGGAGTGGGTAGGAGGAGGCAGAGCCGTTTTGAACCTAGGGAATTGGAGTAACAAAAGACAATTGGGCTGCTCACTAGAGGAGCTTGACATAGTTTGCAGGAAAGAGTCCAAAGTAGCCATGGCAACGGCCCCGCCACCAGCCTTCATCCACCATCTCAATGTCAGTGATGATGTCATCTGGATCGAAGGAGAGCTCATCGCTTCCCTCTGGGGAGGAAGTTGAGGAGACATTAGGATGGTTAGACAGGAATCCCCTAGTGCCTGTCTGTGCCAACTCTAAGCCTCAGGGAAGGAAACGGGCCCAGTCCTTTGGGCCCTTCCTTGACCCTCAGAACCCACCCTTTTTCCTATGTATCAGGGGCCACAGGTGTGCCAGGCCCTTCAAGGGGCTTCACGCTTACCTCCTTGGTAATCATACAGGGCTACAGCAGAGGTCCCTGTACCACCAGCCTCGGCAGATGATCCTGAATAATGAGAAATATAAACATTACATGGAGAAAGCAAAGAGACATGATCTCACTGGGCAGAAAGGGGAGATTCCCCCTCCATCTCTGATGCCCAGAAACTGACCACATTTGGGAGCTGCTTTCCCCTCCCCATTCACCCCACTCACCAGCCTGGTAGGACAGAGAAGGGGTGATCTCGGGCTCCAGCACATCCTCATAGTCTCCCTCTTCCTCCTCCCGCGGATCAAGCTCCCCAACGTCCTCATAGTCGTTCTCGGGCTCCTGCTGAGGCTCCGCTTCATACACTGGCTCTTCCACCACCTGGAGGCCTTCGGGAGTCCTAGGCGGCAGGGCTGGGGGCTCCTCGTCCTGAGGAAAGATGTGTGGGCCAGGAGTATTCAATGATGACCTAATGGGGTTGCCAATACCCTTGCCACCCAACCTCTTCCCTCCGTTTAGAAGCCTTTCTTCAGCAACGGTCTGCTCTTCATTCCCAGTCTCCTAAAACATGTGCCCTCTCAAAGGAAGTGACGGGGGGAACTCAAGGTGTGAGGCGAGGGATGTGGAAAGCAAGGCAGAGCCTTCGGAAAACCAGAGGAACATCAAAGCAAAAAAAGCACACTATTGGGCTACCACAGCCAAGAGAACCAACTGTCCAGGTTTGCTCAGGACTAGAGAGTTTCCAGAATGCAGGACTTTCAGTGTTAAAACCAGAGTAAGATTGGCTGCCCCTATACAGTCCAAGACATGAGAGGATGGTGTAGGGACAGACACTCTCTGGGACACTGCTTACCTCCAGGGGATTCTGTGGTGGAGTCTGCATCCTGGGCAGAGAGGGAACGGGGTGTTCTTTTATGCTTCTCATGGGTTCAGGTTCTGGGGGTGGGTGACTCTCTGCTGGAGGCCAGACCTGAAGAACAAGGGGATGATGGCTCCTTAATCTTTAGTTGGTCCAGCAAAGGGTACCTGTTGCAGCTGGTAACCACTTGGCACAGCAAAGGCCACCTGCTATCTGTTAGACTCTTATTATAGAGACTCTAACAGGTAGAATCTATAAATCCTGATGGCTTGGTTGTTGTTTTTCTCTTGACCTTCTACTACCTGGGACCAATTACACACATGGAATCTTCGCAAAGACAAGCACAACAGACTCTGCTCAGCAAGGGAGACATCTGCCTTCTATTCATTTATTCATATTTGCCTATCACTTGGACCCCCAATAACCATGCCCTCACCTCTGAGGAGATCTTCTTGGGCACTGGGGCCGGCACTGGGGCTGGCACTGGGGCTGGCACTGCTGGCTCTTCCACAGGCCTCGGTGGCTGCTGCGCTTGGCGGCTCATCTTCCCCACAGCCTTTCGCTCCTGTTGCTGCCTGGCCATCTGCTGCGCCTTCTCTTCTTCCTCTCGCTTCCTCTTCTCCTCAGCCATGGACTCAAATTTTGCTTTCAGCCCACGGGCACCACTGGACGCTGCAAACACAGATGAGGAAAATTAAGGGTGTCTTGGATTGTGAGTGGAGAGAGGAAATAGAGCAAAAAAAAAAAAATAAAGGAGAGAGATCTATTAACTATGCAGGTGGAAAGAAGATGAGGAGATGATTCATGGAGGGTGTTGGGGGCTGCGGACTCCTGGCCCCTTGACTTTCTTTGCCTGCCTCAGTCCCATTGCCTGCTGGAGTGAACGAAGTAAACAACTTGTTTTTCTGTGCCTGCAGCTGCTCTGAGCCTCATGAGTTCCTGATGGCAGGGGAAGTGGCTTCTGGTGGGTTTTACAGCTGGAAATCCCAAGAGCTGGGGCGTGGCTATCAGTTAAGAATCCCAATATAAGTTTCCCTGGAGCTCAATAAAGTTGGCGTTCTTGTATCAAAGATGACCCATGTCCCCGTGTCTCTGTATGTGTGCATATGTGTTTAAATATCCAACCCTTTCCTGGCTCGTCCTGTAGTGCAGGCGCTACAGGAGGGGAAGGCACAGAGGTTGTGAGAGGAAACTAGGACCTGGGCATCACATGGCGCTGAAGCCCAGGTTCCATATGACCAAAGGACCAGCTATCCTTTTAAAATTGTGAGTTCCTGATCCAGCATCTTTCTCAGTCTATATTCTTTAAATCTATGCATCTCCACCCGCCACCACCCTATTCCCCATGCCAAAGGTCTACTCTATCTATATTCCCCAGCTAACGCCTCACTCTTGTCTCTGTGTCTCTGTCCCTAGTTCCTTCCCTAATGCCACTCCTCTTGCCGTCCAGTAGGTCTGGATTTTCTAGGAGACAAAACTCTGGATCGATGAAAGTAGCGCTCTCATCCTCCTTGGCTTATCTCAGTGGCCAAAGGCATGCAAGGGATAGTCTTGGAGGAGAAAGAGTCAGAAGAGAAAAAACACTGAAGGGCACTGAGAAGGGAATTAAGACTAACCGGCTTCTATGGGGGTGGTCTTCTTATAAGCTGTGGTCGGGGCCTCCATTTCATTGAAGCCAACGGCACTCTGCAGGCAGAAGAACAATATA